TTGACTAGTTGAATCGTGTAAGATAAGACGGAAAGTGAATACTTTACGAGATATTTTGAATTTTTTCATATTGCAACTTTGGAGCTTTATAACTCGAAAAGTACTCAATGAAGAAACATTTTAATGTTTTGGAAAGTTCTCGAGGTCAGCTACAAGAATATGTAATAAAAAATAGGGGATGCCGTTTAAAAAAATTGAGGTGACTTTCATGTGACTTTCAAATAATTCTTCAAGGTCAAAGCAATGGTACCATCTTATGGTTCCCTCGAAACCAAACAACTTTTGTCTGAAAAATTTTTCTCTCCCGTGCTTGGTTTTCGACATATTCGACTGGATGGATTAAAATGGTCCACCCTGTATATACATATACAGGGTGTCCCGCGTAAGACGGACCAAAAGAAAAATATAAGTAGAACACATAAAAGTGAACAAAAATTGTATAGGTAATTTTTCAAACAACCATGTAAAATTTTGAAATATTAATTAAAATAGTTGGACAAATTAGAACGCGCGACGCGACGGGCAGGACATACGGCTCGCCGCGGCCGGCGAAGAAAATGGACGAGTGCTCGCGGACCTATCTTATAGGCCAGAGAGGTGGGCCGTTTGGTATACGGAAATGGGTAGCTCCGTGTGTGCGTCTGTGTATGTGTGCGCTCGTCCATTTTCTTCGCCGACCGCTGCGAGCTGTATGTCCCGTCTGTCGCGTCGCGTGTTCTAATTTGTCCAACTATTTTAATTAATATCTCGAAATTTTACGTGGTTGTTTGAAAAATGACCCATACAATTTTTGTTCACTTTTAAGTGTTCTACTTATATTTTTCTTTTAGTCCGTCTTACGGGGGACACCCTGTATATACAGGGTGTTTCACTTTAAGTGATATGGTCGATTATCTTGCGATGATTTTATTGAAAAATTTTTCCAACGAAAGTTACATGGCTTGAAGGGGGTCATATTATGAAAATGTGGACTTGACCTTGAGTGACCTTGTCAAAATCAGGTCAAGGTGATTAATGTTTTTTTAAACGGAAACCCCTATTTTTTATTACATATTCTTGTAGCTTATTGCGAAAGTTTTCCAAAATATTATAATAAAGTTACGTTTTATTGAGTACTTTCCGAGTTATGGAGCTTGAAAGTTACAGTACCGCTGGCGTTATGTACGCATGCGCGTTTGAGCGGAATTCTTACGCGCGCGCGTCTCCGCGATCTATCCGCACTGCTTGACATACGTTCACGCGGACGGAATTGAGTCCAATTCTTCCCAATTGAACGATTCAACTTTCCTCTTTTATTCGTATAGCTTTTCCTTTTTATTTTTTTAGCTAAGTGGGATCAGTGATCGGTCTTGCTTTAGTTGACCGGATCAGTGGTCAGTCTTGCCTTAGTTGGCCGGATCAGTGATGGATCTTGTCTTAACTTTCAAGCTCCATAACTCGGAAAGTACTCAATGAAACGTAACTTTATTATAGTATTTTGGAAAGCTCTCGCGATAAGCTACAAGAATATAAAAAATAATAAGCTAATAACAAGATAATAAAAAATAGGGGTTTCCGTTTAAAAAAACATTAATGACCTGGACCTGATTTTGACAAGGTCACTCAAGGTCAAGTTCACATTTTCATCATGTGTCCCCCTTCAAGCCACGCAACTTTCGTTGGAAAAATTTTCCAATAAAATCATCGATTCGCGAGATAATCGACCATATCACTTAAAGTGAAACACCTTCTATATAGTACTATAGATAATTCAGACGACAGAGATCTCACAAAAGAAAGAAAATGCAACTAATAAAACAATTTGAAAAATATATATATATAATTGTTAACTAATATGTCGTATAATTTATAATTTATCTTTTGTCTCTATAATTACCTTGGCGATAAAGTGGCACTATTTTGTCTATCGAGTTGACGAAACTTGGCAAATGGCGACAGTGGCTTCTTTGGAACTGAAAAATGAACGGAGTACTGTCAGAACACGAATATTATATAGCATACGCAGTATGTTAGAATTGCGCCGAGATGCATACTAAGATTGAATTAAAATGTTAATACTTATATATCTATTTTAATTATCTATAACCTTGCGAATTCCGGCATATGACACACACACACACACACACATACGCGCGCGCGCGCACGCACGCACACACATACGCGCGCGCACACACATACATAATATACAGGTGTATCAAGTATTATTGGATCTAGCGAAACCTTTCATTTCCCATTCTCGTCGCATGCCTGCAGTATATTAGTTATCTTACAAACAAATCAAGTAACAGTTTAGTATGAATAAAGAATAAGTATTCGATAATAATCGAAGATCATACGCGACACGTGTACTATGGTATCACTCGTACACACTCGCAGTAGTGCAAACTGTATACTACTGCGTAACAAAAGGATCGACAAAAATAAGGATTATGACTCACTGCTTTATTCGGGGATTGGCATGGTCCTCTTAGTGACTCTCAGAGCCCGTCCGCGAGACTTGCGCGCCGCGTTCGCGACTCGAGTAAAAAAGAAAAATAGAATAAAAAGAAGAAAGAAAAACAAATGGAATGAAAGAAAGGAACAACCACGCCGCGCATGTTTAACACGTGTGATTGTGGAGCTTTTATACGATTCGTAGTTAAATAATGCGCAAATGATGCGGGCTAACGATGTAGTTGGTGTGTTGCGATGTCCTCTATTTCACGCCAGTTCGAGCAGATTTCATGTAAACGGTTTTCTTGTTCGACGCATTCATTTGTCCCGCACACATGCCAGCAGCCATGAAGAAAGCAAGACAATTCTCATCAAGAAGAACGAAGGGCGATAGGCGTTGGCGATGACGATGATCGTTACATCAATTTGCATTACCGTCTCTTGTATTTGACGAAGACCGTGCAGACGTAAAAAAAAAGTTCCGTTGTAGATTTAAGAAATATATTTTTGTTGTAGAGTTTTCCTTGCATCGGAACTTGAAATGATGTTGTGAAACACCATTTTTTCTTCTGGTCGAAGCTCTCTACGACGACGAAAACAAAGGATCATGCGGTCTAATTATATATATCGTAGCGTTTAGTCGTATTGAGAACATGTTATGATTACGCGATAAGATAACCCTTTACGACATTTTTACAATTATTTGTGGAAATGCATGGAAAAGCAACCGAATAATAGATTTGAAAAAATACGCAAGTGTTCTTTGGCATTATGTAAAATGCAATTTGCTAATACTGGATTTACTTTGACGAAAAAATTACCGCACACAAACAGTTCTCATAAATCAACTAGTCAAAGTTGACTAGAAAGACGATATAGTTAAACCTCAGTTATTGACAACTATGATGTTTTCGTGAACAGTCTGAAAACAAATACATGACAATGATCATCTGCAAATCTCTAAAGAGTAATTTGATTAAAACAAACCAGTAGTAGATTAATTTTATCTACCGATGGTAGGCTACGTGAATCAATATGTGAAATCACGAACAATTTAACGATTCACATGGTTGGCCGTTGTGCAACAAACACGTCTGCGGCGAAATTATTGATGATTGTAAGAAACGATTTTCTATGATGTAGTTGCGTGATCTTAAAAAGAAGTATTATTAAAAGCCCCAAACTTATGCCACTTTTATCGCAAATAGTCTTTAGCATGTGTCGCGAGTTCATAACGCGAGTTTGTAACGCGCACAAAGAAATCGAGGAACCGATTGATCAGAAACGATGATCGTCGGTTCTCGTGGCTTCCTCAAAAATGTCGTCAAAGACTTTTTCCACGTCGGTACTGTTGAGATTCGTCGCAGGAAGTTGCGGTGTAGCTGGAATCAACAAATGCAGCTTTTCGTTGCAAATTCCTGGCATAGTGCGGCTCCTAGAAAGGCCAACTAAACCTTTTGTCACTATGTCGTGCGAAGGAAAACGCTTGCCTTTGGAGTCCTTTGCGTCCACGTTGTCGTTCGAATGATCGAAGTATCTGCGTATCTTATCTTCCATTTTTTTCACATTGTCTGAGGACAAGGACGCCTCGTATTGTTTCTTCATTCGAAAGAACGATGGCGACTTTGATTTTGGGAGCAGCTTCGGGAGATGGGACGACGTTGGGGGTAACCCAGCCTGTGACGGGCGCGGCGACGGATGATGACTATTAGACAGTGCCAACTGATGCCACGATTCAGACTTAGACAGAACAACAGATCTGGCCGATTTGTTGGAGCAAGATATCAGATATTTATCGCTAGAGTCCATCGCGCTATTCAGACCTCTTAGGATTGGAGAACGTTCCTTTTGAACGGGTCTCGGTTGACCGCCAGGTTGCTCGTATTGTCCTCTAAGAGTAGTGACGCGGTTTATTGTAGTGCCAGAAGTGCTGAGTCCTGAACTCGGTGGAATCGATAAGAAACCGATAAGCGGCGGCTCCAGCTTCGGTGTATTGAACGATTGAAACTTTGTAGACTGATTTAAACTGCTAGGCTGTTTGTAGACAGGCGCGTACTGATCATTCAGTATCATGCGTTCGTTTTGCAGTCGATTGACTAAACTCTGTTGCAGCATGTTGTGTCGACGTATCTCTTCCTTGGTCGTGATAATCTCGTTACTAGTCTCTCCGGCGTAGGGCCGGGAATGCGAAGGAGAGGGAGAAGACGAGATTATGAATTCTGGTCCTGTTTCTTCCGATGGCATCTCCAGGATGTCCGCCGAAGCGACGGTTGCTATTGCGCAGGTGTACCGAGTTACAACTCCGGCATCCGCGCTTATATCTTGATTTTGAATATTCTGTTCTTCTGGTAAACCGCCGTTGTTCGTACACGAGAAATCATTTTCATCACTTTTGAGTGAATCTTTGTTAGATTTCATGTCTGGAGGATAATTTTGATATATTTGTAATTTATTATCAGGGCCTAATTTAGATGGAAAGCGATTCTCATGCTGAGAATTATCAATTTGAAAGGCTCGCTCGCGCTGTTCCGTCGAGTGATAATCGGAAACATCCCGATAAGGTATATTTTCTATTGGATTTGGCAGGTACACAGAAGATTGCTCTTTGATAAGATCTCGTGTGTTTTCATCCATCGAGCTCTCATTTTTCGGTACGACGTCAGCCACCAGGGTATGATAATTCCAATTGTAGTTTAAGACGAAGCTTCTAGGATCCTCTGCGGAATGAAAGCTTGAGTTTACTATTGGGTTAACGTCATCGCATTCGTAACGAGGAGTCTCCCGCTCTTTCGTAGATTCTTTCTGAGATTCTATATACTTCATCAGAGGTTGCTCCGGCTGATTGGTTTGGACGGACGCATCGTTGTAAGTGGACAGCTGACTTTTTGAAACTCGAGGAATTACACGAAACACACGCACTTCTTCCGGCTGATTATCACTGCTTTCACCCGTCTGAATGGCAATAGATGAGCTGCCGCTGAGTGTTGCATCAACCACCGCGTTTTCCGATAAATTTTGTTCGTTGCACCGACGATTACGAATTTGTTCGAAGACGTCTTTCTCGCTAAGAAGGTTGGATTTGTCACGACGCGATCCTTCGATTCCATGACGCGACTCACTCGACCTATGATGGTGTGGGATTCGCAATCCCTTCTCCGAGAACGTCTTGAAGGAGATTTTTTCATCTGCTATAGCCAACTTATTATCGGGCGAAAGGATGATCTCACGTTGCATCAAGTGTTCATTACGTTTACAATGCTCTTCGTGATTTCGCAATATCTTAGGCTCCGCAGCAGTGTTTTTGCCTATAAAAGGAGCGAATTGTTTGCAAAAGAGGCGATAATCGAGCCGCCCATTTTCAGCGATCATCCCAGTTGTCTTTCCTTCGTTTCGATCACGTTCGATCCACGGTAGTCGAGGAAAGGAAGGTTTCTGAAAGTTCTCATTTGCGTCGATTTTTAATTTGTTTGTAGACTGAGATTGGACATTATCATCTCGATCAAACATAATTCTAGCTTTCTCGCGTAGACTGTTTCCTGATGATGGCGTGTTATTCTTGAGCCAGTGAGAGTTCGACGGTAATATTGGACTCTGCGGTTTTTCGATTTTTCGAAACAGCGACGAAGGTGCATGCCTAAAACCCATGTCCGACTTCGATACGTTCGTGTTGGTAAACGGCAAGCTGTTACTCGAATTACCAGTATTAATTGGTGTCTTTTTGTTTGTTACTTGAGAGAAAGTTTGAAGTGCACTTGGAAAGTGTTTCGCGGGACGCGGCTTGGAAGAGAGTTTGTTTTCGTCGTTCACGGAAGATTGTTTGTCAAAAGCAGTCTTAATATTGGAGAATCGGTTATTCCAGTTCTCGTTCGACGACATATCTGTCGCTTTAGTATAACCAAAAGACTTGAAAGCAGGCGCGACATTGAACGTCGTTTGTATTTCATTATTTCTGTTGATAAGCGCTAAGAATTTCTTGTCGTTCTCAGTTCGCGGATGAAATGATGGCACGGTGACGTTGTTGGTTGCATTTGACGTAACCTTATTACCTACATGAATAGGACGTCGCAGTTGTATGCAACCTGAGTTATTATAATCTAAACTGCCGGCCTGTAGTTTCAGGTAACTCGGTATATCGACGGTATTGGCTCGCTTGATCTTGAATTTTTTCGCGATAAATTTATTATTGTTGACGTTGCATCTACTGGCACTAACCAGTTCCGCACGTTGCCGAAGTATTGCCGCGAGTTTGGTTACTTGACTCTGTTCTTCATTCGTTCTTTCAATACCGGCTTCTTCGTCGTCGATATTGCTGTACCAATGTCGATCCTGAGATATATTTGATTCATCGCTTTCGATCGTTACTGGACAATATGTACCGATATCCCCGCGGCAGTCCTTATTTTTATCGCGCAAAGACTGTCGTTGATTAATCGCGTTCTTTGTGCACTTATCGCAGATTTCCTCCGTGTGTTTTTCGCTGTTTGGCGTGTCACTTGATGCGCTACTCGACACGCTATTCGGCACGTTGCCCGATACAATCAATGACTCCCGTTGCCGTTGAATCGACACGTTATTTAATTTCATCAAATCCGCGCTGCTCTCCTCCAGTTGCTTCCGCGCGTACGCGATCTCCTCAGCGGAGACGCCAATAGTATGTCTGACAGGGCGTCGTTTTCGCGCAACTAACGCATCCTGTGCTGTTGCGACGTTCATTAATCTATTCTCGCCGGTCGTTGTTACTTCCTTTTGCGGCACTTGCAGACGTGATAGCAAACTAGACACCAGTCGCAGAAGATGTAGCTTGCTCGTAGAATCCGACACACCGCCGTGCTTAGCAAGTGTCGCAACGTCCGTGCGTTCCAGTGTCTCGCGCAAACGTGATAATGCCGTCTGAATATCCAAAAGCAATAAATCTTCCAGGAACTTGAGTTCGTCTTTCCTTGACTTGAAATCGTCGTAGTCGTAACTGCGAAGCACCGCCTGTTCCATAGAACGATGTACGTGGAGTCGATCATTGATTTCGGTGCCAACTCCCAATTCGGCTAGCGACGATGTCGCCGTTGGCTGGTCGCCGTGCCGACAACCCGCGGCGAGGGACAGCTCGAGTGCCTCACGCAGACGTTCTACCAGTACCGGCAATGAATTCCACTCACCAACTGCTACGCCGGCGTGACTGCTGTTGCGACGTCCGTCTTTGTCGCCAGTGGTCAATATCCCTGCCTTGAACTCGTCCGTTTCCATCTGTCTCTTCATTTCGTTTGCGGCAACTCCTGATATCGGCACTACTGGCATGCCATCATCCGGCGTCGACGACGCGCTTCTTGTTATAGTCGCCAGCTCTGTCGGACGGAAACAGATTAAATCATGTTTAACAGATTCATTCGTGTACACGTTGCATTTCGATATATCGTTTAAATTGTAAGTTGACGCGCGTAAACGATCGTAGAATTGTGGATAAAAAAAATATAAATAGGGTATAAATTATATATACAAGGTGTCCCAGATCACCTTCACAATTTCTCGTGAGAACGTAGAACAGATTGAGATGAACACAAAAGTCCCATATCGTTCTGCGATATTCACAATAATAGTCGAGATATTAACCCTTTGTGTCACATTTTTTTCTAGTAAATATAATTTTGTGAAACTTGGTATTCAGGAGGTTTCTGGGGTCTCTGAATACGAATCTGGTGTCAAAAATGCAAAATAAAAAATGGCGGATCCAATATGGCGGACAAAATTATCAAAATCGATTGGATTCGTTTAAAACTTGCTATTTAGAGGTTTTCGTGTCCACTGATTACGAATCCGATGTTAAAAATACAAAATTCAAAATGGCAGATCCAATATGGCGGACAAAAAATTGATCTGATTCGTTTGAAACTTACTATTTTGGGGTTTTCAGTGTTACTGATTACAAATCCGATGTCAAAAATATAAAATTCAAAATGGGGGTTCCAATATGGCAGACATATTTTTCAAAATGTAACGGATCCGCTTGGAAGTGACTACAGCGGTTTTTGATATCGCAAATTACGAATCTGGAATCAAAAATACAAAATCCATAATGGGGGAGTCACTTTGGTGGATGTCTCAAGAAACTTTGTAAATATATTTTTCTGTGACATATTTTGCTGATATGTTGTACTACTACTATTTTTTTCAGACTGTGAATATAAATCTGTATTTCAAAGTATATAAAATTTAATTATTCAATATATTACATTGGATGTGTCGAATATAGTCTCTAAGTCTCTAGATTTAAATTTTATATATTTGATCGGAGAGATGTATAACTTGCTTTCTGCATAACCCGGAACTAACGACGAGGACGTGGCAAGTTTCTAGTCCCATATTTTATTGTTTTACTTTTTTTCGTATTTTTTTTGTATTTTTTTATTTTTTTATATTTTTATTGGGAGTACACATAAGTCACCGCCGTTTTTTTTTTTATCAAAAATTGGGCATTTATTGTGAAAGAACAGTACCTTATGATTTATGTAAAGTATTGTCCATCGCTAGCCACTACTTTTTCCCATCTTTCTGGCAGCATACGGATACCGCGTCGGAAGAACGCTTCATCTTTTGAGCCTATCCACGAATCGACCCAATTTTTGGTATCTTCATATGATGTGAAGTGCTGCTTAGACAGATCGTGCGTCATCGATCGAAACAAGTGATAGTTAGAGGGAGCAATGTCTGGTGAATACGGTGGGGTAAAACTTCCCAATTGAGTGTTTCCAAATAGATTTCGACCGGCGCCGCCGGTGGACATGTGAACATGTGGACGAGCATTATCATGCAGGAGAATAATTTTGTCGTGTCTGGAGTAGTAGTAGGCGCGTTTTTCCTTGAGTGCTCGGCTCAATCTCATCAATTGTGTTCGGTTGAGCAACTCATAATACACGACACCAAGCTGATCCCACCAAATACACAACATGAGATTTTTCCATGAATATTCAGCTTGGCTGTCGATGTTGAAGCATGGCCACGTAGTCCTTATGATTTCCTCTTCTTTGGGTTATCGTAGTGGATCTATTTTTCATCACCAGTGACTATACGATGCAAAAAGTCCTTTCGTTTATGCCTGGTAAGCAGCATTTCACATGTGTAAAATCGGCGTTCAACGTTTCTCGGCTTCAGTTTATATGGAACTCAATTTTCTTGCTTTTGAATCATTCTCAACGATTTTAAACGATGTGAAATTGCTTGTTGAGTCACTCCTAATGTAAATGCAAGTTCTTCTTGCGTTTGGCACGAATCTTCCTCCAATAATGCTTCCAATTCCGCGTCTTCGTACACTTTCGGCCTTTATCTATGTTCTTTGTCTTCGACGTCAAACTCACCGTTCTTAAACTTTTGAAACCACTCACGACAACTTCTCTCACTTAAAGCAGCCTCACCATATGCTTCTACAAGCAATCGATACGTCTCAGCTGCAGATTTCTTCAAATTAAAGAAGTAAATCAAAAGTTCCCGCAAATGACGCTTATTCGGCCCAAAACTCGATATTTTTGCACGAAAAAAATTATGTGATGCTGATACAAAATCGCTAATATTTCAAAGTTATGGTGTTGTCAGATGTCTAACCTTACGATATGACGTTTTACATCTGACAATTTCAACCATAACTTACTGGTGGGGCCATCTTTTGTCAAACGGCGCAGACTTATTTGTGCTCCTAATATATTTTTTGTATTTTATATTTTTTTGTATTTTTGTATTTTTGTATTTTTTATATATACCAGGTCTGTAAATATGAAACCGGAATTTGCCCATAGATGACCCTGTCAATGTAGTTACCATCAAACCGCGTCATTGGCGCCATTTCCTTGTTGACATTTCTGACAAAGATTTTCAACTCACAACAATACAAGTTTCATACAACAGCATAGTTTGTAATAGCGTTGAACATGTCGAATTTTGTGCCTGGAAACTACGATTTGTGGACAGCGTTGATTTTCTGTTATTTGAAGAAAACTGCTGCAGAATCGCATCGAATGCTTGTCGAAGCTTACGGTGAGCATGCTCTTGGTAAATCACAGTGCTTTGAGTGGTTTAAAAAATTCAAAAGTGGCGATTTTGACGTGAGAAACGAAGAACGTGGAAAACCACCGAAAAAGTTTGAAGACAGCGAATTGCAAGCATTGTTGGATGAGGATGACACTCAAACGCAACAACAACTCGCGGATCAATTAAATGTGACAGAGAAGCCGTCTCCATACGTTTGAAAGCCATGGGAAAGATCCAGAAGATGGGAAAATGGGTTCCACATGAACTGAATGAAAGACAGCAGGAAAACCGAAAAACCACTTGCGAAATGCTGCTCGCCAGGTACAAAAGAAAGTCATTTCTCCATCGAATTGTGACTGGCGATGAAAAGTGGATATATTTTGAGAATCCTAAGCGTAAAAGATCATGGGTAACTCCAGGCGAACCATCGACATCGACTGCAAGGCCAAATCGCTATGGACGGAAGACAATGCTCTGTGTTTGGTGGAATCAGAAGGGTGTGATCTATTATGAGCTGCTAAAACCTGGCCAAACCGTTCATACTGAACAATCAATACCGACAACCAATGATCGATTTGAATCAAGCTTTGCGTGAAAAACGACCAGAATATAAAAAAAGGCAACACAAAGTGATTTTGCTTCATGATAATGCACCATCACACACAGCAAAACTGGTCAAGGAAACGATTGAGGCGTTTAGTTGGAAAATACTTTCGCATGCGGCTTACTCACCAGACTTGGCTCCGTCCGATTACTATTTATTTGCATCGATGGGACACGCACTTGCTAAGCAGCGCTTCACTTCTTACGAAAATGTACGAAATGGCTCGATGACTGGTTTGCTTCAAAAGAGCAACAGTTTTTTTGGCGTGGCATCCACAAATTGTCAGACAGGTGGGAAAAATGTATAGCTAGCGATGGGCAATACTTCGAATAAAATATTTTTTATCATTTTCATACAATAAACGTGTATTTTCTATACAAAAATTCCGGTTTCATATTTACATACCTGGTATACAAAGTGTTCCAAACTCTCCTTCTCACATTAAGTGGAAATATAGAACGAGTGTGGTGAACATAAAAGTCCCATACCGTTTTGCGATATTCGCAATAATAACCGAAAAATTAATTGTAAAAAATTAAGGAAAAACACATGATGAATAGTTGAGGGTGGAGCGCTCGCGGCCTAATAATATAGCGCACGGATGTCGGCGCGCGGTGATTGGAAAAGCAACGTACCATTGCTTATACTTATATCGTTGCACTCCTACATCTCGCCTCGGCGCGGTGCGGCAAGATATAGGATCAGAGCGATATAAGACGCTGACGCGCGCTGACATCTGCCTGCTATATTACTGGGTCGCAAGCGCTCCTCCCTCAACCATTCAGCGTGCATTTCTCCTTAATTTTTTACAATTAATTTCTTGGAGATTATTGTAAATATCGCAAAACGGTATACACTGAGACAAAAATTTAGCCAATTTGAAAAAAAATAATTTATTTTGAATAAATGATTTTCTAAAATGGTACCAATAGCGTATTTATTTGAATTAAAAAGTAATATTAATTAGGATGAAAAATTTTTTGCTGAAAAATAATGAATTATTGATTAGATTGAAAATATATTTAGTGAAATGTAAAAAATAATTATTTATTTTTAAGAATTTTATTTAATGGTTGTAATATTGTCTTGCTAAAATGAAGAAATTATTTACCAAATTTAAAGAAATATTTATTTAATATAGAGAAACCAGAAGTTAAAACATAACACACACTTGTAAAAATAAACAAATATTTATTGAATTTGAATTTGTGGCGATTTTTAAAGATCGCCCGTCACAGTAATTAGTGAGGAAGTAAGGATGTGCTTCCAGGCTGAAGTGTGGGTGTCGCGTCCTAGCCGTAAGGCGAAGGGAATGCAAACCCGAAAAATCAACTTTTGTGTGTAATAAAAGTCGTCGCGCGTACGACGCACGAATACGACCGGACGGTCGAACGAACGTGAAGAAGAAGGAAGATCCACGCCGAGGAAGAGATTATGCTGCCGCGGCGGAGGGAGGAAAGAAGAGCGACGATACGTTGGAGGCCGGACAGAATAGGTGAATCATTCCCTTGATCCCGGTATAATATAGGAGACAGATAGGGCGGCCCATATGGCTCAGTTGTTTCAGAGTCGGAGCGGATAAAATGCTGGGAAACGATCAGAAGACATCGCCGTCCGCTGCCGAGGCGAGTCGACAAGGAGCTGCCGCGAGGAAGCCGCGAGGAAAGAGTCGACTGACATCGCGGACGAGCGGACGGCCAGCCTACAAATCCTCAGTGATGATCTGGCGCATCCTTCAAGCCGAGCGAGGACGCCGCGAGGCTCAAGAGACGACGAGAAACCAAGGCTGCAGATGGAGCGGTGCCGCAAAGACAAAGCCACGAGCTGACGATACCGATAAGACAACAGAGAGGCTCCAGCAAAACAACAAAGTTCAAAACAGAAAAACGGCTCTGAAGCAATGAGTCAATCAAAAGCCGTAAACTGTCGGTACCGAAGATTCAAAGAGAAGATAAAATCCGGTCTGAACAACAATCAAGAGCTCTCTTTTGCGTTTCGTGCGACAAGACGGCAGCCTGTAAAGGGAACGACGCCTGCAAAGCCTGCTAACGACGGACGACTGCGGAGAACCCTTGTAAGACCGCCCATGTGTCGAATTTTGACATGGGAAGACCGCTGCAACCAGCAGCCCGACAACGCCCGGTTCGCGACATTTTTGGTGAGTCCGTTCCATAGGAAACTATTTGGTGTCTAAATTCGGGTTGCGAATCGGAAACCGCATCGAAGGGCTGAGGCTCGGCCGTCCACCAGGGAAGGTACGGATTCGCGTTCCTCTCGCGAGCGCGGAGAGCTCAATTCTTTAGTAGGAAAGTTTCCGTTACCGAACGTCCGATACCGCTCAGACGAGCACATCGCCAAGTGCCGACGTGGCTGTCGTGACTTCGAGGGTCATGAATAGATTGTTTTGTTACCGATTTGAATTGTACGGGCCGATATAGAGATACAGAGATACAGAGATTTCAAGTAGTTCGTTAGGGAAATATTACATACCGCGGTTCAAGACCTCAAGTACTGCGCGCTGTCACATTATATTGTCGCGAAAGCAAATAACTACCACTTTTATAGATGACGAACGTAAGAAAAATAAATTGTGTCAGTATCCTCTAATATTTCGAGTAACGTCTTTTAAGGGCCCCACCCATCCTTTCCTCACCTCCGACGTATCGCGAACCAGCCCCTCTGCCCAGGGTAAGGCTGAGCTGCCGGTTTCGTGAAGGCCATTTCGGGCGGAGGACGAGCTGCGCTCGTCGGCGAGATCGTTTTAGTGTATTCGTGACTTCGTTGGTCCGCCGTACCTGGCGCCCATTTCATTTGTGAGCTGTCGGGTCTCACCGAACGGCTGATTATTTCGTCTCTCGTTTGTAGTGCACCCAATCAGTGAGCTGATTGCACGGATCGGAGAACTGCACGTTACATAATATATTCCGGAAAACCTTATTCATTTATTTCAAGTGGACTAAAGCGTTACTTACAATGAAGCATTTAATTGTCAAAATGAGAAAGCATAATTTCCTTTCAAATTAAAATTTATTCCGCTACATGTAAAGATAGGATTGCTTTCAATAAATATTTTTAAAACTATTTAAGAATTATTTATTAGATTTGATACATATAAAAGGAACTGTAAAAAATATTTACTTATTTAATTACTTTATATATTATTTTTAAATATTGCATGGCTAAAATTGAGTAACTATTTATCAAATTTGAATAAAAAATTGTTTACTTTAGAGAATTTTTCTTTATTTTTCTTTCTTGAACGGTTCTTTGAATTCTTTAAAAATTCATATGAAAGTAATATTTAGGAACGATTAAGTTGCTTCCAATGTTACATCACATTTAAAATTCTTACCATTTGAAAATTCTTACTGGCACTGATGGGACTCAAACTTGGACCCGTGAGGCACCTCTGAATTATGAGTCTGTTGCTTTAGGCACTACACCACTTCTTCGATTAATATAAACGTCTTACATTTTGTCTACATGTGTTATAGTGTGTTGTAAAGTAAATTAATATTTAGTTTGAAAAAATATTTGTTTAAAGCTATTTCCTGAATTTAAATATTAGATTTTTCAGTTTTTAACAATAAGTTATTTAATTTGAGCAACGGTCGTCTCAATAACGTTTATCGTTATTTATTTTAAAATTATTTCACGTTGGATAAAATATTTCTTTAATTTTATTATATATATTTCTAAAGTAATTATTGTTTATAATTTCATAAATAATCTCTTATTGCAACTAAAATATATTTGAATAAATATATTTATTTAAATTAGTTAAATTTTTTTATCAGTATTCATTATGTTTTTTTATATGTAATATATTATTTATTCAAAACAATTTTATTATTGGACTAAAATAAATGTTATAATACGTGCATCCAAAACCATGAGTAGCTTAGTAAGCGCTTATGGGTACACTGGAAAAAAAATTTATTCAATCTAAATAAATATATTTATTCAAATATGTTTTAGTTACAATAAGAGGTTATTTAGTTAATTATTTTACTCAATAACAATACACTATTTTGTAAAAATTGTTTTACTCTAATTTAACCCTTGAACACTATTCTGGGTTACGCTAACTCAGAGGGTTTGAAAAGCAAGCAGTATTTTTAAACGGCTTGGGTGAGGTGGTCTAGACTCTGGGGAAAAAACGTTATGTACCCCCTCCACAAACCCCCTCCATACTAACCATCTAGGGCAAGAAGCGTTTAGATGTGAGCGTCACCGAGTCAGTCTATGGATTACTCTGACCCAGTGTGGTTGTTCTAAAGTTGACGTGGTGATAAACATAGATATACTTGTTTATTGATTGTGTTCATATTATTCACATACTGTTCCACAGATATTAGCAACAATAAAAAATAACAGTGTCATGTGGCGTATTTATCTATCTTTTACAAAGTTGCAACTGTATTTCCATAATAAATTATTTTTCAAACACTACTTATCTTATTATTCGACACATTATACCTGATTTTCATATAGACGCATGCAAATCTTCCTAATTTCAGCTATTTGTAGTTTATAATTGCAGCCGACACTTTATAATCAATGCTACAGAAATTAATTTCATTGTATACTACGAACAATACGATTTTTCAGATAGAAACTTCATTTTGCAACAGTCAAAATTCACACAACTTTACCTCGCTGAACAAATGTTTTTTTCCGAACTAATCGTAATAAAATATTTTTTTTCTTCATGTTTAGGTCAATAGCTTTCGATTTTTGTACTTTTAAACCTTAATGGATGGTTTCAAAAAAAGATACCATTTTAAGAACAAACAATCGATTTTTTTAAATAAAAAAATTTTTGTTTTATTATTTTCGATATAGCTCGAATACTAAAAGTTTGATTGAATTTTTACCTGTGAATTAAGCTTTCTTAGAGTCGGGCGTATCGATTAAAAAAAAAAGCCTAAATCCGTGAATTACATCTCAAGATACAGGAGAATCAAAACGCTGGGTGAGACTAACCCATGTGTGGTATAATCGGGTGGTGGACATAGTGTTCAAGGGTTAAGAAATGTTTATTTGAAAATATCAAATTCTGTTGATATCATTTATTCAAATCAAAGAAAATATTTTTTGAATTAAAATTTTTGGATATTATAAAAAAGAGTAAAATATTTATTTAAGATTAATTTTTTCGAAACAACTTTATAATCCATTAAATAATAATAACCTATTTATAACCTAATAACCTAGCTTATTATTATTTAATGGATTATAAAGTTGTTTCAAAAAAATTAATCTTAAATAAATATTTTACTCTTTTTTACAATATCCAAAAATTATAATTCAGAAAATATTTTCTTAGATTTGAATAAACGATATCAACAGAATTTGATATTTTTAAACAAACATTTCTGAAATTAGAGTAAAACAATTTTCACAAAATAGTGTATTATTGAGTAAAATAATTAATTGATTTGAAAAAATATTCATTTAAAGTTATTTCCTCAATTTAAAAATATTAGATTTTTAAATTGTAAAGAATAAGTTATTCAATTTGAGTAACAGTTGTTTCCATAACATTTATTCGTTATTTGTTTCGAAATTATTTCACGTTGGATAAAATATTTCTTCAATTTTATTATATATATTTTTAAAGTGAATTAATGCTCATTATAATTTAATAAATAACCTCTTATTGTAATTAAAAGATATTTGAATAAATATATTTACTTAAATTGAATACATTTTTTTTCAGTGTAGGACTTTTATATTCACCTCAACGCGTTCTACATTGCCACTTAATGTGAGAAGGAGAGTATGGGACACTCTATACATATATACAGCTTACCTCGTATTATTTCCATGAAGTATAAATATAAATAGTCATACAATGAGATAATTATTTAATGTTTTTACAATGAGATAATTATTTAATGTTTTTACTAGATAATATTATATGAAGTTAAACATTATTTATAAATACAAATACGATGTAACACATTCTGTATTCTGTCGAGAAATAAAATAAGTACGCATACCTACTTTGTTTTTTGACTATATGAGGAAAAAGTCCGAGCGGTAAAATGTTGCTACGATAGTCGGATAACGAATGAAAACTCACTGTTTTCTGCCGAAATTATTGCTAAAGTTTAATTCTTGATCTAGAAATTCAAGTAAGTATCGATTAACAGTGTTTATGAAGAACTAATTTACATTCAATTACATGTGTCGACGGTTTATACACTTCCATTTTATTTTCGAAGATTATTTTACTTATGATTTATCATTTTTCAGAAATCTTACAAAATAGTGTAAAAATACTTAGAAATTATGACTTTTGATTTTTAAAACAATATATTGTTGCGTTTGCGTTTTCGAGAACAAGACTTAATTCGTGATTTCAACGTGAACGAGGCGTCGAGACCTGGACAGTTGAATTCGTCCTTCTTGACGACGAGTAAACGGAAGGGAGTCGCACACAAACTTTCGAGTCGAGCTGATGTGTGATGTGCCGGAGCGCGAGATTTTAAAAGATCATGTTTAATAACGCGAGAACCTGTAAATAGCTTAGTTTCTTTAATAAAAGTGTATTCTTTTTTTCTTGCTCTCAGAAGCGAGTACGCGAGCGAATGCAACATTTATATATTAAAGACTTTAAAATATAAATTATATCAATTAAAAATTAAAAAAGAAAAAAATTGACTCTATGATATAAATCAAATCAAAGAAAGAGAAGAAAGGAGCCTAGGCACAGATGTGGTAGTGCTATTTATGTACAATAAAATGGCTATAATTATAACATTACACGTTTCGACCCGATTTGGGTCCTCTTCAGTAAAAGTGTAAAAAAAGCAGTACTAGTTAAATGCAAAAAGGTTAAGTAGAGATGAAAAAACAAAAAACACAAACAAACAGCGCACGCAATTAAAATAAATTTTCCTATGCGGATCAATATAGATGTAGAAAACGCAAGTATAATGAAGATAAATATTCCTCTCCTCCAAGGTCAACCAACAACGCTTAAATAGACGATGTAGTGCAGATGCACTGAGATGAACAAAATAGTCTCCCCAAAGATGCCGGCGAGGAGAAAGATAAATTTATGTAAATCTAAATAAATATAAAAAAATTAAGCAAATCATGTACCGCAATTAAACAAAGAGAGAGGAAAAGTAAAATCTTAGTTACCTTAATGCCGTTAAGACATAAGGCAATAGATGTTTAAACTTGATTTGTGAAGATCTGTTGATAATACGACAATGTCAGAGCGAATAATGTGAAGCAATACAATAAAACCGGTATAATAACACTGAAGATCTTAAATAGCAAATCTCGCGAAGTAGGGGAAAAATCCAACATACACATATACTAAAATAATGGTTGTCGTAATCTTAGGTTCACCAGGACTAATACAAATTCCTCTTCTTGTTTCAACTTTTTATCTTCTAAATTTCCCAACGTTACCCGAGATTTTTTGAAAATCCATATTGATCTTAAAGACTTTTCTGACACTCCTACATTTAACATCTTGAATTACAATGACAAGTGGTTTTTGAACAATACTGAAACGGTCATCCTATTTAAAGTGAAATGTCTCTTTCACTTGGTGAGGGGTTTTGTTTACCTCCTCTTAATTCTGAACGTGCGGCCTTTGAAACTATTAAGTGTATAGAAAACAACCTTAGAAATTTTAATAGGGAACCACGGGATTTGATTAGTAATAACTCCGCGATTCTTATTAAACGTTATTTGAACAATTCTATTCGCTATTCTGAGACTCATAATACCATCCTTAAATATCACCACTTTACAAAACGGTTTGTTAAATAGAACCCTGATTATTACCTGAGAGGACAAAGGAAATATTACTGTTGCCATGAGTAAGGATATTTATTTAGAGAAAATAATGCTTCTCCTCAATGACAATAATACTTAGAGTTGACCGTGACGCAACTAACAAATTGACCAATAATTTACACAATATTTTGACTAGATGGAAATACATGTCATTTATTAATAACTTAATTTATAAATTAATAAATAATTAATTAATAAATAAACAATTAATTAATAATAAATGATTAATTAAAAATTAATTAATTATTAATGAATTTATAAATTGCACTAATGGGGTTTTACCGCGTGCTTATAGATTACCCAAAATTTATAAACCCAACTGTCCACTGTGTATCATTATCTCATCCATTAATAGTCCTTTATATCGTTTATCGTTATTTTTACATAAGATTATTTATAAATGTATTCCGCCGCCTGATAGCAGAGTTCTCAACAGTTTTGAATTTGTTTCCAAATTTTCGTCAATTAAAATTGATACACATTACAATCTTTTCTCTTTAGGTGCGGTTTCATTGTTTACTAACATATCTATAGTTATTACAGGTTTCAGAAACCGTTGGCTATTTATTGAAAAACATACAAAAATTCTGTGGGATAAGTTCATTTCTGCAGTTTCGTTTGTTTTAAATCCTATATTTTTTAAATTCCATGACACAATTTTATGCAAACTTTCAATAGCCCTATGGGGTCCCCTTTATCTCCTATCATTGCAGACATAGTTCTGCATGATTTAAAGGTTAAGGCGCTTAATAGAGTCCTTACACTCCTTCCCTTTTTTACCAGATACGTTGATGATATCTGTTTAACGTCTCTCCCTGAATTCATTGAGACAATTCTAGACGTTTTTAACTCTTATCAACAGAGGTTACAATTTACTGTTGAAAAATCGGCCAATGGTTGCCTGAGTTTTTTATACATTACAATAAAAATCTCTAATAGAGGTTTGGAATTTGATTGGTTCCATAAACCAACCTTTTCAGGTAGATTCCTCAATTTTTATTCATTCCATTCTTTATGTCATAAGATAGGCACAATTTACGGTTTAATCGACAGAACTTTCCTTTTGAGTATCCCAAGTACCCTTATAGAAATATCATACTAAGAATCATTGATAATTACTTATTATCCAGTATTTTTAATACTGAAAATAAGTAATTATCAATGATTCTTAGTATGATATTTCTATAAGGGTACCACGTAAAAAACATAAAATTTGTGATCAATATATTATTAAATAATGACTACCCGTTAGATTTGCTATTCAAGATTATTAAACGCCGTCTTCCTTTTCTTTTCAAAAATATTTCCATCATATCAGTAAACAATAATGAAAATTGTACCCATTAGAAACCCTCCTTCTTCACCATCTCTTACTTAGATGGAATTTCTAAAAGTTTTAAATCCTTGATTGATACCGATAATATAAAATTAGCTTTCAAAGATCTTGTTAAACTTAACCAATTTATTAAAGTACACAAAGATTCTCTGCCGAGGATGATGCACAGTAATGTTGTCTACAAGATAAATTGTGTGAACTGCAAAATGTCATACGTGATTCAAACTAGCAGACTTTTAAAGACAAGAATTTCTGAGCATCGTAGACCACCTATGAATAACTTTAATTCTGATAGTCAAAGCACATCAAATTGACTACAATCATGATTTTCATTGGGAAAACATAGAAATTCTCGATATCAAGTTTTCTTATTTCAAATGTTTGATTTGGAAATTTTATATATAAAAAGTAAAAAGTCAAAGGTCTTAATAATTAAATTGAAACTGAATTTTTTGGCCAGCGGTATTTAGACATCCTAAATAAATTTTAATTTTAATATATGTGTATGTTAGTTTCTTCCCCTACTTCGCAAGATTTGCTATTCAGTGTTATTATACCGATCTTCGGTGTTAATATACCGATTTGATTATCGCTTCGGTGTTAATATATCGATTTGATTATTCGCTCTGACATTGTTATATCATCACAAATCAAGTTTAAACATCTATTGCCTTATGTTTTAACGGCATTAAAGTAACTAAGATCTTATTTTCCCTCTCTCTTTGTTTAATTGAGGTGCATGGTTTGCTCAATCTTTTTATATTTATTTAGATTTACATAAATTTATCTTTCTTTTTGCCGGCATCTTTGGGGAGACTATTTTGTTCATCTTAGTCTGCACTACATCGTCTATTTAAACGTTTTTGGTTGACAAGGATGCGCTGCGTTGACCTTGGAGGAGAGAAGCATTTATCCTCATTGTATTTGCGTTTTATACATTTATATTGATCCGTATAGGGAAATTTATTTTAATTGCGCGCGTTGTTTGTTTGCGTTTTTTTTTTTCATCTCTACTTAACCTTTTTGCACTTAATTAGTACTGCTTTTTTTACACTTTTACTAAAGAGGACCCAAATCGGGTCGAAACGTATAATGTTATAATTATAACCATATTTTATTGTATATAAATAGTACGACCACATCTGTGTCTGGTACTTATAGGCTCTTTTCATCTCCTCCTTTGATTTGAATAAATTATATCCGTTATCTAGAGTAATTTCTCTGACTTGTTTTATTAGATTTGCTTTTACCAGGTTGATTTTCAGTATTTTCATTTTGAAAAGAATACAGTTCACATATTTTATGAAGTTGTTTGTTTTTTAATTTGCTGGTAAATTTTTAAAATCTTTTTATAAAACTATTATAACAATAATCATTATAGGTTATAATGTAACTACGAAGTTTATGAGATTCTACTACAGTTAAATTAAATTGCACATATATGTTATGTCAACATAGAAAACATCATGATCTCTTTTTCATAACATGTTATACATTTCTTTTAAAGGATATCATTGCAATTCCGCTTACTAGATATATCTATAAGCTAACAATATAAAGAGATGTTTAGATAGATTTTTTGATAGACGTCTTTCAAAAAAATAATCTAAACAACTCTTTTTCTCAACAATACCCACTGGGTCATTATCCGCTAACTGTCGGCGATTCCTAATTTTAACCCTGAGCAGGATGGATGAGCAAATCTACAGTTTAATTATAATTCTCAACCACCTGCAGTAAATAAACAATAATAAAGTAAATATCCTCTTCCCCTGTACTAAATGTGTATAATTATAGAAATATATACAAAAGTATATATTTAAGATATCTTTTAATTATTTAAAACAATTTTTTTTCTTTAAGTGCCATATAGGATGTCTTTGGATCTTTATAATGTGTCTTTAAATATTTTTGAGACATTTTAAGCACATCTTCCGGATATCTAAAAGAAATCTTAAAGTGTCGTATAAGATATTTTTTATATTTTTTTCAGATTTCTTCAACACATCTCCAGATATCTTAAAGATATTTTAACATATTGCATAAGATGTTTTTAGATCCCTAAAAGTTACTTTTTTGTTAAACAATGCAAGTATATTAAAGAAGATATTTTTTGTCCCACAGGCATCATGTAAAAAAGTCGGACTTTTCCATAATTTTCGATCTGTTAAATTTAATTTTACTCATAACAAATCCTCATCATGCCAAAAATCAAAATTAATCACAAATTTTCAAGTAGTAGCAATTATTCTAATTGTATTTAAAAAAAAGTACGAAACATTTTCGATTGATAAAAAGGGTCCCGGCCTAGCAAAACCGCGCTCTCGCTTTTTTCTCTCTCTGGAACGAAAAGATACGCAGATCTCGAACGCACGGCGTCTTGCCACTTAGTACGCTTTCTTTCTATGGTAGATCCTCCGCATGGCGCATTGCATCCAAGCATCCGGGGGCTACCAAAAAAATTGGTGTCGACCCCGGGGCTTACTTGTATTATTTGCACCGGCAACGGTGGAGATGGACATATATGGACAGCAGGTCTTAAAGGATAGCTTTTGACTTTGAGAGACTGACAGTTGTACCATTTGATATAGTAACATTGTTTCTCTCTGTAGTCGCCGCGTTATCTAGGAAGAGGAGAGTGTCATGAGCGTGGAGCGTCAGGTAGCTCAGTGGTTTAGAGCAGTCGTCCGGCAAGCGAAAGACCCGGGTTCGAGTCCCGGCCTAGCAAAACCGCGCTCTCGATATTTTTCTCTCTCTGGAATGAAAGGATACATTAATTTCTAACGCACGTCCCGCCGCCACCTATTACGCCCTCCTCCTTCTATAGTAATGGAAAAATTTATATAATAAATCTATTCTGACCTCTCTTTTACAGGAGACGTAAGAATGTTTATTCACTCTGAGGAAAAATTGTTCGGATGCATTTAGCATAACATGGTCATAATTTCGATGATGACAACGACGACTATTTTTACATGATGCGTTATAAATATCAATAAAGTAATTTCCTGGAACACTTTTTCCGTAACTATTTATAATATGGAAACTGGTTACATTTCTTCACAATCAAATCCAAAGTACTTGCATTAATGAAAGAAAACAATACAATATATCAATGTACTATCTTTAACTTTTTTTCTATACTTATAAATGCACCGTCTACATGATTTGATTCATACAAGTTTACTTTCATTTTTATTTGCTAAATAAGAAGCTTTACTCTTTATTATCGTTGAGTATTTATTATTTATTTTTCAGAAAGAGAGAGAGAGAGAGAGAGAGAGAGAGAGAGAGAGAGAGAGAGAGA